CAGTGCGCAAATACTTCTAACCTTAATTAGTTGAGTGAGCAATCGCAGGTACATTAACATGTAGCTAGAGGCTCTGCGCATGAATCGATTTAGCTTCCAGTTGCAAGCTGCTGACCGATTTCAGTGATCACAACTCCTTTGGAACGTATGCAGCGAGCTGTACGAAGTGCGATGCCAAATTTTTAGAATAGGATCGACCCACTGGCTCATGTCATGACATAACATTTCTTGCATTCTTTCAATTTGAGCATGCCTACCGGAATGGCAGCTGTAAGCTGCCAAAGTGCCATGCGGACGCAAACACACTCCATCATTCCGACCGGAGGTGTTCGAGTGTTTCGTGGCAAATCTGACACGATCCGCAGAAAATTCGGGATAATAAGCGCAAAGTTCACCCATCAACTGCTGGAAAATAACTAGATCTGCTTCACTATAACCTACTACTACAAGTTGGTAAACTACCAGGGCCGATTCAGGAGTGCGCATCTGTCCAGTAAGAAACAGCCTATCTAAGCCTTGCAAGCTAACTTGGCTGCCACACATGAAATCCTTATGATTTCATTGCCGTGCCAACGTCAGTCTCTATGCCAAGTCATTCTAGTAACCTTTCTTCAACCAAAATGCGTGCTGGCGGATCCTTTATATACACTGCTAGCGCAAGTGTTGATCCACGGAATTGCTCATTGGCCGCACATCACCGAATCACGTGCCTTCAATCTCAGCCTGAGAACCTTCCACGCTCGTCCCGGCCGCCGCGCCCTGCTCGTCCGGCGCTCCTCCATCTCCACTCTGGCTCGCTTCCGCCATCTGCACGCTCCGGGCCGCCGCCGCCGCGCGCGCCTTTCTCCGGTGCGCGGCCACCTTCCGGCGCTGAAGAGTCACAAACGCACCCGACGCCGCGAGGACCAAAGCCCCCGCCGCGCCAACCCCAAGCCCGAGCCCGATAGCGACTCTGTTCGTGCCCCCCGTCGCAACCTGCCCCTCTTTCGGGGGTGGCGGGCTCGCGATTTGTGGGGGGGGTGCGGTCGTTGGAACTGGCGTAGTCGGCGGACTCGCGGGGCTTTCGACGGCAGCGGTGTGAAGGAGATAGAGTCCGTTCCAGTGGTCGGGGTTGGGGGCATAAGTTGCGGCGCCCACGGAGGCGTTGTAAGTGACCGGGAGGTCTCGATCCACCGCCCAGGTACAGCCGAAGAAGGCAGCAAAGTCGGTCGGAGGACCGGTCGGATTGCACCGGGTTGGCGTGTACACGTCTACCACGTACTGGACGCTTGCGCTTAGGAGCGCGCGCCGCGTGGCCGGAACTAGAGCGGGGACGTTTCCGAACGCAATTTGGCCGGACGGGGGCTCGAAGGCGCTGCCGCCCTGCGTGAGGAAAAGCGCGACCGCGCCGACGACCGGCGCTGCCGGGCGGAGGTTGTAAGAGATGGGCACCTGGTCGATGCTTGGGAAGCTCGCCGCGGTCGCCTCAATAGGCGCCGCACCAGCCGCCGCAAAGCTGAAGGTTAGACTCTCGCCGACCGCCCGGGTTACGACCGGGTTAGCGGCCGGGTCAACAGTCATGGCGTCGGTGATGACCGGGGGAGGTGGGGAAGGCGCCGGGGGCAACGCGGCGGCCGGAATGGAGTACAGCACAAAGACGCCGTTCCAATGCCGCTGCGTCGGGGCGATGGTTGCTGACGCAGCTTGGGCGTCATACGGGACCCGGGCCCGCTCCGCAGCGGACGTCCACACGCACCCGGCGTACGCGTTCTCAAACGCTGACGGCGGCATGGCGGTCGCGCACCCGCTGACGTGGTACACGTCATAGATGTAGGCCTCGCCGGCGGGCGGCGGGGGGATCCCCTTGAATGTGATGTTCCCCGCGAACGGAAAGAACGCTCCTGTGGAGGCGCCCTGGGTGAAGAAGACGGCGACCACTGCGACCGGGGGAACAGTCACCGGTACCGGCTGGGAGGCGCCCCGGTAGAAGACGGCGACCCCGGTGAGGGAATCGGTCGCCGAGGCTCCGGCCGGAGTAACGCCCACAACGGAAGCGGAAATAGTGACTGCTGTTGCCCCGGGGATCTTTACAATGAGGATTGGCGCGGTTTTGGGATCGGGCCGCGCAACGGTCGCCGTTGCAAAGCTGACCAAGCTGGGGACTGGGACTGTGTGCAGGACGAAGATTCCATTCCAGGCGGCAACCGTTGCGGTTCCGGTTCCGGTAGCGTCAACGGAAATGGAAACGTTGGTTGCGGCGGCAGACCAGACGCAGGTGGTGTACTCGTTGCTGGTGGGGTCCGCCGGGAAAGCCCAGAGGTCGCAACCGGTCGCCTGGTACACGTCGATAGCGTATCCCAGACCGGTCGGAAGGGCGGGCAGCTTGGCGTATGTGATCGTGGCCGGGGCGCCAGCGGTGTAGGTTCCTGGGAGACAGAAGTCCACTAAGATGTCAGTTTCTGTTGGAAGGAAAGTTACTCAGTGACAGACGAGTTCACGGTCGAACAGAGAACGGAGGACTGGAACAGAAAAATTACCACATGGGCTAACTGCAGCCGTTTACGTTTCTTTGAGGAAGCGAGACGAAGTCAGGCCTTGGCGGCTTTGTTAGTAACTCATCACAAGTCGAAACAAAACGAGCATTTGATTTAGCCCAGAAGTTGGTCCCTCTACTTTTGAATTGTATAGGCATCCTCTGAAAAGGACGGCTGACCTAACAAGAGCACTTTTGCTGTGATTGATCGGCGGAAACTTGGAGGCTTGTCGTGGTTATTTTGTTTAGTTATCATGTGTGTCTCTATATCACAAAGGCAGTAGATCGATCTACTGAAGCAATCAAACTTTTGAAAATTTACTTTTGGGTTGTCTCGCAAGTTTTTTCGCGTTTCCGCGGAACACCAGATTGCCGGCCAGGTTTCCGAACAGGGAACGACAGCGGCAAGCTAAGTACACAGCATGTGTCTGTATCAGGCGGCAAACGTTGCCTGTTTAATCAAGTACCATGCTCATAAAGCGGCAGCAAAAACAGCTACGAAGAACACCGGCTCAGCCTCGAAGCCCCGTCTCGAAAATGAAGCCCACTTGACAACGCTCTTGCTAAGCTCTCAAACAAGACAAGAACGAATCAAACTCAGAGGAATCAAGCACAGCTCACCATTGCTGTCGACAAGAAATAGCGCCGCGGTGCTCACGGCTCCCTCAATGACGACCGGCGCATTTGCAAAGGAGACGCCGTCGGCATACGCTATGGCATACGCCGTCACCCCCGTTTCGGAAACGGGCACGCTGAACCCGAAGCTGCCGGCCGTCGCCGCAACGGCACCGCCATCTCCGCCGGCCTGGATTGCCGTTCCTTCGAACGTCTGCCCCGCAAAATTGGTGGGCACTCCAGGTGTCGAAACCGAGGGGTCGTTCCCGTAAACCCTGGCGAGCAGCACGGGCGCGAAAGCGGCCGCGTCAAACCACCACAGCTGCGGCAGCGACGCGGCCGCGCAATGCCGCGCGGCCGCGTTCAGGAGCGCGTCGGCCGCGCGGGCGAAGCACTCGTAATTGTCGCACGAGCCGCTGTCCCCGGCGCAGGGTGACGTGGCAAGCCCGTATTGGGCGATGAGCTGGAGCTTGGGCAGGAAGGTAACGATGGCGCTCTGGATGGCGGGCTGCGTTTCGGCGACCGTGGAAGAGAGGGTGGAGTTGTCGCTGGTCGCCGGAAGGAGGGAAAGCGCGACTTCGTCCGCGGGCGCGAGGATCGACGCGAGCGCGCACGCGTGCTGGTTGGCGATGATCGCGCCGCCGCCGCTGTCCAGACCTGAGGGAGAGATACGGGAAACGTCGTGAGCACTTGTAGAGAAACGTTAATCCGATCCTCAACATTAACTTTTGTTCTCCAGCACGTCCCCGCTTCTTGTGTCCACTTTAAAGTCTCACGTCTTCCAAGTTATCAATGACAGAAAGGTCGGCCAGAAGGTCGCGGAACCGTAGAGACGAGAAACAGAGCCGGAGGCAGAGTCGGCAATTCAACGCTTGGCTTAATTAAATGTTCTCCTGTGTTTCGCACTTGCCTCTGAATGTTGCCGGAATAAGTCTTCGCAGACATAAAAGCGGCACTTTCACTCAACTTTTCGTTCCTTGATTTTCATTCAAGAGATTGTTCTGAAAAGCATCGAGTTTGAGGACCCTCTGCGGCAGCTAAGCGGTCAATTGAACTTCAAGACACATCGAATTGTAAAGTACTCGAAGCATTCTTTTGAGGACAGCCCTCCGGTACGTACCGGGGGAGAAGGCCGGTGGTGCGGACTGGTCCAGGACGTCGATCATTTTGAGGACGTCCGCCTTCGCGCCGCGCATCAAATCGTTCCCGACGCCGCAGCCGAGTTGGAGCGGATCGGGCGGTGCATACGTGGCACCCCACCTGATCGCCCACGTCAGCACGGCGAAATAGTCTGCCGTCTGGTATGCAGCCGGCAGGAAAGTGTCCTCATAATCCGCGATTGCGACGGTAACGTTCACCGGGGAAGACTGAAGCAGGGACCGCCCCTCAAAAATTGGCCCGGGGGACTCGTCCTCGTCGAAAGACAAAAGGGCGCGCCGCTTGGACGAAACGTACTTGGTCGCACCGTCGAATCTGCATGCTCAAGAAGAGTCGTTTGGTCGAATAGCATTGGTCTCCGTCAGCTGCGATCTGAACGACTGCTCTTGACCGTATTACAAAATGCAAATACTTCCAGGCTTTCGATGCGCAGGGTTGCAGACAAGAGTTGGAACGCTCATGTTGAGACTCGCCTGACGGCAATGTCGTATCTGGAGTGCTTTGGCACCGAAACTGCTTTCAAGGGCGTCAGAACTGGTGCACCAAAATTCCACGCCATCTTACTTTCCCTCGCAGTAAGCTTTTGTGGCAACTCAATCACCCGCACCTGATCCTATCCCTCGAGTAGAAGTGTCTAAGCTACTTACAAAGGTCACAACATGGCACGATCTTTTCACTATAAGACGTCTTTTACTCTCTTCCATCACCATCCGTCGCTCCCTTGCTTATCCTCTAGCCGCAATCCCTTGACGCGCTACTGCAAGCATTTGAATCCTACCATCAGAAAACAACCACGGTAAGCACACCCGGTCAACTTGGTTATGCTCACTAACCTGGCACCGTTGGGCTGGTCGCCCGGGGCCGACGCCGGCGCTCCCGGGTTGCTGACGTACAAAATGAACCGGTACGTGCCCGGTCCAAACGGATTAACCGTGGCGACAGTACTCGCCCCCGTGCTAACAATATACTCATATCCCCCTTCTATTGAGTACCGGAATTGGTACTGGAGCATCCCGTTGGGGGCTTCGGGGCTCTTTGACCAGTCGCTCGCGGTCAACCTCCAGTAGTACTTGAAGCCGGGGTTGAATTTCTGACCGGCAAAAATATAGAACGGGTGAGTGTTGCTTTTCGGAACCCACTATTAAAAACCGTTGCAAGCGCGCTTTAGACTCCTCGAAATTGACACATCCAAAGCCAAACTGAAGCACCAGTTTCACAGAGCCGGCCATTTTGATCCCCAAACGGAAAGGAAAGGAGAGGCGGTTACAGTACGAGTCGTCAAGCTGAAGACCTCCGTGCTGAGGACTTGTTCAGAATAAACCTGCAAGACGCGTCGAACCGCGGTCCGACCCAATTACCATCCTGGCTACATTTTTGTAAAAGAAACCCGGCGGTCAACCCGTTGTTTCATGTCGTACTTTTGACTGCATCAACAGTCTGAAAAGAGCGTGCATCGCAAACGCGTCAGCCGAGAAGCCTCCCCACGTCGCAGAATACGGAATCTGGGCAGGAAGGAAGTCGAAAGACAAACTAGTCAGCGTCCAGTCTGTGACGACCACTCACGTTCGGAGTCACGTTGATCTGATCCACGGCCATGGTCCCGCCGCTGGGCACGTTGTACACCGTAAAGTCCCTGGACGTCTGCCCGGAAAGAAACCCGGTCGGGTCCACCGCGGTTAGCGTAACCCGGTACACGCGTCCCCCGGGCAGAGTGCCCGGGAAAATGGTCATCGATCTCGTGTCACCGCTAACCGTGAACGGGTACGTTTGACCGGTGCCGTTATTCTTGAGCGCCCAGGAGTAAATAGTGCCCGGAACGTCTGACCAGGCTGTGAAATCGAGTTTGCGAGAAGACGCGACGCCCCCGGTTATGCTTGACCCGGTAACGTTGATCGCCATGGCGATCGTGCGGGAAGTGGCCATGGTGATTTTGGCGGAGGCGGGGACGCGGAGCCGCCCGGTGGAGAGGGGTTCTTTCGACACCTGTAGGGTTATTGAAAGTTTTGGCTTGATTAAGTGTCAAGGAGAGGGGTATGCTTAAGTTCCAAGGAGAAGGGGTTTGCAGACTACTGGGCAGCTAGATTGTATTCTGCTGGAGGTGGCGACTCGAAGCCGGCCGGGGAGAGTGGCTCTTCCGAGACCTGTAAGGATATTGCACTTTTTGACTCGGTTAAGTGCCAAGACACACGGACTACAGGTTAGTGGCCGCTTGATTTTCTTTGGCTGTGTGTTGCCACTTTCTATCAAGCACGGTTCTTTTCTCTTGCTCTCGCAACCTGCAGAATTCCTTAGAAAATTCTGAGTCGACATAGGAGGAGACAAACCGAGAGATGAAGATGCAACTTATTATTGGAAAAGCGACATGAGGGACTGCCAGACAAGAAGACCCTTGATAGCTGTTGCCGTGAGTTGGCCACTTTCTCGAAAGCGGTTTCACATCAATTCTCAGACTCGTGAAAGAAAAGAGCAAATGGAAAGAGCGAGGTCCAAAGCCCGTCTTTTCCTCAAGCATTTCGCATGATTGTAAATCCAAGTATCTGCCACTACCCTCAAAAGGGTGATCACTCACGGTGACAGTAAAGGTGTAGCTGTCGTTCGACGAAGGCAGCGACTTCGCCGGAAAGATCAGGAACTGCCCGTAGTTGTTCGTCGCGTCGGACTGGTAGAGCGCGGCCGCGGCCGCGCCGCTCAGCCGCTTGTCGCACGCCCACGCGTACTGGAACGGGTACGGAATTCCGTTTCCGTCCACTATGCTGTCCGGATCGGCTGCCGACGCCGTTATGGTTAGGTTAGCGTTGTAGTTTCCGGTACGATCTCCGCTGAGGATGTAAACCACGAGCGGCTGCGGCTCGAGGGAGAGGGTGACGCGGCCGGTCGCCGCGGGGCCCAAGGTTTTGCCGAGGTTTAGAGCGGCGGACACCTGCGTGAATCGTTACACTCTAGTTTACTCAAACTGAGCTCAATACGTTGCAACAAAGAAAGGCTTGTGACCCCGAGGTTTACCGGCTCCGCATACATGTTCATTCTAACCAACATGTTACTACCGCACCTGTCCCAGGGAAGATTTCCTCATTAGAACTTGCGCTAATCATAAGTTTTTTTCGAAGCTGATTCTGCGGGAGCGGAAGAGGTCGATGGATCCTGCCCCGGCGTGTTCTTAAACATGGTTCGTCCTTAGTTTCGCATTCTTTTCGGCGTTCAGTCTTCCATCTCGTATTTATATTCTGCGGTAGCCGACTTATCTTCGGTTACACGTTTAGAAAAAAATGATAAGGAATGATGTGAACTTCATTCATGCACGGAACTTCAAGGGCGCCAAGGTGTGACTTTATAATAGTTAACGACTGTTCCTTTGGGAGGACCTCTGGCTTTGCGATTGGGAAATGTGAAGCAAGAGGCGTAGAACTTACATGGACCCTGCTTGAACCAATTGAGAAATTAGGTCGCCAAATGGGTATGTTGGATCGGGGAGTAATGAAGCTTTTATGGGACAGAGTCTTTACTGTGGCGAATTGCTTACGACGCTACTTTGTGCTGACGTTCATATCTTCCCTTGAAAAGGTCTCACTGATTCTTGAACGACACCAAATCTTGCGCATTTCAAAAGAATGAAATGAGAACGAAAGGGGGAAGAACCCAAAGAAACAGAAGTGAAGCTTTCATTTGGACCCGCTTTCCTCACCATGCATTCGTAATCGACGCCCACTTTCAGCACATTCCCGGGGATCTTCAGATACGACGACCGGAGCGAGCTCTGGTAAGCTGCAGGTAAGCTGCTGACGTTGATGATGGGCCCCGTCATCTGCTGCCACGTGTAGTTCATCGGCAGGTTGGTGTAGTTCAACGCCGGCACGCACTGCCCGTTGACGTAAGCAAATTTCCCGGGCACTCCCCCGACCGCGAACGCTGTGATGATGTAATTCGCGTTACCCGTGATGCGTTTCTCGGGGCCGGATCCCGGTACGATGACGTAAGGCATCTGTTTGTCGGACTTGGCGATCGTAATGGCGACCGGTGTGCTAGTAACGCCCACGAAGTTGGTCGCCATGGCGGTGAAAGTGTAAACATTACCGGGAACCAAATCCGTTGCGCTGAGGGTAAGGGAGGTGTAGGAACCCGCAGCGGTGTAGTTCGCGAGCGTTTTGGTGAGCGCGGCCGTCGCGTCGGTGTTGAGCCCCTGCAAATGTCGTTGCAAAGAGCTTGGTAAGCAGAGATGGAAAGAAAGGAAGCGTGAGTCTGTGCGGGTCTTAAAATTCCGTCAGCTTTTCGTAACGAAACCACGCTTCATTCTGCGTGCTGCAAGTCGCTCAGCCTGAGCGTCTCTTTGAATGTTCAGCAAGGTGTTCTCAGCAAAGGAACGGTTGAAGATTGTCCCGTGCCACGAGAGATGCATATCCGTGCGTACATAACCACAACCACAGAACCAGCAAGACTCTGCAGACTCTACGCGCTTGGTAGGGTATTGACTTAGGCTATCATCGATAACGCCTGCTTTAAATCCAATGATTGCTTCTGAAAAACATGTATGAGTTTCTGCTTCAAAACCTATACAGAATGTTTTCACGATGTAGGATGTTATCCCGGTTGCTGCGAAGTTGTGGCTTGCCCAGGCATGTACCTACATGCCGTCATGCGATGCTGATTGTTAAAGCCCCGATCTGACGAGGTGTCCAACCCCAGTCGTGATCACCCTCAACCCAAATAATGGTCCTTTTACGATCTCTAACCTGGAAGTTCGAGAGATCGTCTTCCCCAGTAATGAGCGCGAAGGGGAAATTGTCACGCGCTGGAGCTTTCCTTCCATTCGACTGTTTGTTAAAATGGGCATATGGAATCGTTCAAGTGGATTAAGAGCAGAGATTTAGAGCACTAGAGCTTGAACATCTTACCTGAACAAAGTAGCCGTACTGCAGGGGCCGGCCCCCTCCCCCGGTCGACCCGGCAACCGACAGAACGACCGAGTCACAGGGCCCGATCGCATTGGGCGCCGTCAGACTGACCATCGGAACCGGCGGCGCGTCCGGCGCGCTCAGCGGAACGGAACCGGACGCGTTGTACGAGTTGGACGCCGCGTTACCGACCACGTTTGGTAACAGAACGATGGAGTCCGGCGCAAGACTTCCTACCGGTAGGATCGTCGCATTGAAACCGAGGGTGATTTGCAGCGAATCACTGTCCGGCCAGTCGCAGAAGAAGCGCCCGGCTTGGCCGAGCTTGGCTACGGTGCTCGGGTCGAGCAGCTTCTGGCAGGTCTGGTTCCGGGGCTTAACCAGCTGCAAACCGCCCAGGTTAGTGGGCTGGTCGAACTGGACGCTCAGCGTGGTGAGCAGGTTTGAGAGTTTGGCGGAGAGGAGCTGCGGCGCGGGCGCTGGCGCGATGACCGGGGCGTAGCGGCCGGTCACTGCGGAAGACAGGAAGTTCGTGACGTCAGCAGAAGCAGAAGCGTCGGAGGCGGGGGGTGGTGGTTCTTCTCGTGCAAGAAATCGTTGAATGAATCATGCGGTGCTGAGGGAATATACTTGAGGATATACTTTGGTGCAAGGCAATCCGTGAAGAGCTGGTGGTTACACGTTCAGAGTTCTCTGGGAGTGAGTTGTTTGACCCGAAGAACGAGAGGGCGTTTCACAGGCCGCTTGCAAAACAATCGGTCAGAGAAACACCGCTATAGGCCGCCCCCCGGCCCTGTGTTCAGCTATTTTAAGGAATGAAGTCAAAAGACTAAGGTATCAGGTCAAACGAAGCCTAAATCAGGTCTGAAAACAGGAACACAATCACTGCAACTTATATCGAAGACACCTTTTACACAACTTTGCAATCTGCGGTGAGTCTGCATGATTGATCAAACTTTTCTAAGAGCAGCAAACCAGTGGAATTCAGTGAACGTTGTTTTCTAAAAGCTTGTACAAGCGTCAGAAGTTCGCCTAAAAACGCCTACGTTTACAAAAGAACTTTCTCAAGGAGTAAAGTCATCTCAAGGGCTCACCAGTAGTCCCAGACGCGACGGTAATCGTGACGCTTCCCCACATCGCGGGCTTGTAGGTGACTGCTGCGAGGCAACTGGTCGCATCCGGCGCACAAGCCGTGAAGACGACCCGCACGCTGCTGCTGTCTACCATGTTTGGAGGGGAGAAAGACACGGCCGGCAGACTGCTGAAGATATTGCCGGCGGCATCCCGGGCCGTCACCACGAACGAGGCGACCTGCCCCGCGGTCCCCACGGTGAGGCCGTCGCCGAAAGCCGAGGTCGTGTTGCTGGAAACTGGTCCCGGCGTAACAACGACCTGCAATCACAAGCAAGCCTTCGAAGGTCAAGGGTCTGATCAATTTAAGAGAGATACAGGTTTTGGAAGCACAGTAACGGTTACTGAATCATGCTTTACCAGCTCTTCCTCTTATGGTGTTCTACTCAAGAATCTGCAGGGCAGATTGATACTCTGCGGCGACATGATACCCTTCGTTGCTGCCGCAAAGGTGCCGCGCTGCCACGTGGCTGTTCGTTTGGTAGAACCTAGCATTTTCACCCCACTCAACAACCGCAAAAGCTCTAGGGAACTGGAAAGTCAAACCTAACATTGATCGATCCGGAAAATCTTGGCGCTTTCGAAAGGCAGTCCAATTCTGTTTGACAAACGGGTTAAACGCGAGACGATCAAAGGTGAACCGACCAGCATGGGGGTGCCCGGAACGACTGCGGAGCTGGCACTGCTGTCCGCGACCTTGACCCGGAAGTAGCCCACGCTTAGTCCGGTGCAAGTTCCCAGGAACTCGGAGGAAACGGGCGTGGCCGTTATGGAGCATTGCGGCGGGTTTGTGCCGCCGTACGTGGTCACGGCAAACGACTTGTCTCCGTTGGTGTAAGCGTTGCCGTAAGCATCCTGCAAAATCACAAAGTAGCTCAGCACCCTTGTTGCAAGTTCCCGGTAAAATAATGATCTGAAATGCCCGGTTCTAGGCAACTGGTACCAGCTCTGCGGATGAATCGGGTCGTCTGTAGGGAAAGAAGCCGTGAGGTCGCCGAATTTGGCCCTTCCTGGCGTCGAGTCTTCAGGTCGAGAGTGTCAGACGCTTCTTCACGCGCAGAATTCATTGAAGCACGAACGAAAGAGATGATTTGATCTCCTCACTGCTAAATCCAGAGCTGGTTCATTAATAAGTGGTCCAAGGAGTCGAACATCTGTGATGGAAGTCGAAGCAGCACTTGGAACCTCGATTTGAACTCTTTCTTGACCACCGCTCAAGTCAAGAGAGGGCCCCTTCACAGGATACACAAGCTGCGAGTCGGATCCAAGTTCAGCAAGTCGAGATCGGCTTGAAGCCGAACGCATACCAGACGGCACTTACCTAGCCAGCACTGTGAAAGTGAACGGTGCGCCCGAGACGACGGTCATTGAGAAGAGCGGGGTGGGTCGAAGAGCGCACTGGGAGATGAGGAAGTTTCCATTCACGACCGTGATCTGCATCGGCTGGCCATTCACAGGCGTCCAAGCGACCGATGCCGGGTCTCGCAGCGACACGGTCAGGTTGTAGACGCCCGCGACGGTCGCCGTATAGTGGAGCTCGTAGGTGCCGTCCTGCTTATCCACCAGGCTTGCCTGCGGAATGGAAGGGATACTATGTCAGCAAAGCGGAAAAGAAATGTTCAAAGACTTTCTTTTGCTAGGAAGATTTAAGCCGTGTTTCCGGCCCTAGACGCTATTCAGACGAAGCCCTATAGGCAGCTTAGCTTGAGATTCGATTGCTCAAACGAAATGGCCTTCCCTCTGACGAAAAAAGGATAGAGGCCCAATTCTGGAGTTGAGCGCTGAGCAATGTGGCAGAAAGAGGAATTCGTGCCGCCTGGACCTTGCCTCAAACGCTTCAGTTGCTCCCAGCAGGTTTCAGGGACTGAGCAGCGCAGCAAACGGAGCATCACTCCGGACGAGCGTTTCACTGACCCAATCCTCAATAAGAACGCTTCTTGGATCGGTGCAAAGTTTCGTAAGAACACAGTACTGCACTGTAGGATTCCTCAAAAACTGGAAAGTTTTCTTCAGGAAGAAGCGGACGCAATCTTCGGATTACTCGCCTGGACGGTCGACGGGCCGGTCAGGACTGCCGTGTAGACGTCACCCCCAGCCACCGCGTTATACACCTGCGCGTTCCCGCTGACGTCATACGACTTTACCACGATGACGTCCTCCTTCCCGGCCGTCCTCTGCTCGGTTGGCAAGAACTGGTCGACGCCTCCGGCTTTGAACAACTGAGCGGCACTGGCCGCCGAAGGCCCCGGGGCAGCTTGAACCGTAAGCGGGGAGTTTGCTAGCGTCTCGCTGGAGTCGGCATAGCTGGCAAGCGTTACCGACAGCTGTCTGGCGACCGGGGAGGTGAAGTTGACCAGGTACCGCCCGGTTCCATCCGAGAGAGGAACCGGGATCATGACTCCAAAGTTGGGTATTGCGACTTGGAAGGCTTTGGGCGCCCCGGTAGATCTGATGTCGAGCCCGGTAGAGTCGCTCGGTTGGATGAAGAAGACGATGTCCGTTCCGACGGTGCCCTTCACAGCGGAACGGAGCGGAAGTCCGTTCTCGTCCACGGCTCTGCTCCTGGCGGGGGCCACAGAACTGGCTTGGGTTAACAGCGCTACGGTGCTTGTGGCCACCGTAAACCCGTCGTAGGTGACCGTGATGGTTAGGGACGGGTTTGCCGTAACCTGGGCCGGGGTGGGCGTGTACGTAGCGAGGAAGACTCCGTCTCCGGCGCTCGAGACCGTTCCGCTAATGCTTCCGTCGGAAAAGGCGACGGAGAAGCTCTTGCCCTCTGGCAGAGCGGTGACGGTGTTGTTGTTTGTGTCGCGGGCCGTTACCGAAAAGCTTGCTTGAACCGCCGAAGCCGCTCCTACGGTGAAACCCGAACCGACCACGAGAGAGTTAGGAGCGGAAAGGGGGCCCGAAAGCACCGGAACCCAGTACGGCTGCGCCGTTGTGGCGTTGACAACCGGAACGCCGTTAACAGTCAGGGTTAGCCTGACTAACCCAGCCCGTAGCGGCGTCAAACGGACAGTGTACAAATCGGTGGTGTTATCTTGGGTTATGGTCGGACCCAGCGTCGAACTCAGTCCCGATGAGCTCGAGACCGAGGTTAGCTGCAGGAACGACGAGTTGACCAGGTTCGCGTTAACCACCGGGTTAGCGAATGGGTCTAGCAGCTGAACCGTGAAAACCCCGCTGAGCCCGAGGTCAGAGCCGGAGGGAAGGTGACACGTGTCAGGTGAGGGACTGCGCCAGCTGGCGCAACGTAGATCGCCCGCGTCCCGGTGGCTGGGAAAAATTGCTGCCCGGCGAGGCTGGCGGTTAGCTGGTACGTACCGGCCACGGTCGCGAACAGAGTCACCTGGTACGTACCGTCCCCGTTATCGGTTACGTTGAGCGCTGTGCTTTTATTCAGCCCGTTGACCCACTGCGCGGTGATGTTGAGACCACCCGTCCAAAGCGGGTTAGCGTTCTTGTCATTAGCGACGAAGGTTAGCGCTACCGGCACGCCCACGGTGACCGGCAGCCAAGGGCGGGCCATGATGTTGGTTATCTTAACCGGGCCCGGGAAAGTGGTCAACGGCACCTCGCTGACGACGTAAGATGACGCCAGCGTGACGTCAAGGAAGCTCTTCTGTGAGAACGCCCGGCTGCAGGGGTAACTGAAGTTGTAAATTCCGGGCCCTGCTGACGGCATCGGGACCGGCTGTCCGGTGAGGGATTCCATTCCGGTGACGCTAACGGAAAAGACGTCGGCCGTGGCAGTGGCCGGGTTCCCGAGGGCATCGTAGGCCAATACGGTGATGACACGTGTCCCACCGGAGGTGCAGTTGGTGAGGGAGGCGGGGAGAAGCCGGGAGGTGGAGGCGGAAGCGGGGCCCGGAAGGACGGAAACGGAATAGGGACCGCCGCCGATGGCCACGTTGGCGCGCGTGACGTATACCTGAGAAGACGGGGGAGCTATCTTGGTTGCCACTTCTTTGGAGACTGTTCGGAATCAGACTGCCTTACCCGTCTCACCATCTTGCAGAGTCCTGTGCACGCAGACTTTATCGAGATCACGTTCGTAAAAATAAATACCGTTTACGCATCCTCTATTTGCAAACAGACTTAGCGAATGTGAGAATGCGATCTGAAACGGAACAGACTATTCGAAAGATGGTAAGAAGCTCGGACCATCAAGACCAAGTCTCGTTCTGTTCTTTTTAGAGTGCAAGTTTTGACTGTTCCGAGTTGTTGAGTGGCCGAATCTTTGTTGTGATGCGGACTGAAAACGGTGCCAAAGTCTGTCGTGTCTTGCTGAGGAATGCAGTCTTTGACTAGCCATCATCTGATATACACTCTTTGCTGGCATGGGGAACTTACGGAGTAGTTGCCGGCGACTGTTGGCGTGTACGCCACTTCGTAGTGGTCGCCCACAAACGTCACCGAATCCGGCGTCACTACCGTCCACTTAGGCACATAGTAGCTGGAAAAGCTTCCAGCGGGCGCCGAAAAGACTCTGATGTCCAGCGTGAGTTTTGCGTCGAAGATAAGATTGCCGTCCGGGGAAAGGTTCTGGTAATAGTCCCGGGGGTAGATGGAGAAGACGGCTTGCAAGCCGGCCGCGACGCTCGCGGGCGCGGCCGCGGTGCCGACGTCGGCCCCGACAGCGTAACAGGCGGAGGTGAATACAGGACCTGTAAAAACAAAACCCAAGCTGCTTTATACGGGCGGGGCAAGGAACGGTTCAAGTTTGACCAACTCAAAGCCAGAAGCAGAAAGGAAGACAGCTTTTATCTGCCGCTTGAATCGGCCCGCGATGGGTTGGAAGGCCTGTTGGGCAGTTTTCTTCTGGTCATCATCATTTTCACGAGTTTACCAGATCACGGAACGACGGCAGCAGTGCATGGCCGAACGCCGTGTTAACTTCCATAAAGGACATCTCCGTCCTTAAGCTGGCCTAAACTTAATCAACCAGTCACCTCCGTTTGCTTGTGAAAATGGGGCCCTAACCAAACACGAACCGGATGAGGCTAAAAAGTTTTCTCCTGTAAAAAGAGCTTTCGGTTCAAGTTTGTTTGGCCAAGAGTCGGAAGGGCACTTTTTGACTCACCCGGCGTAACCGTGAGCCCGGTGTAGTGGAACTGCTGGCCTTGGGCATAGATGTCTAGATAGCTGCTCTGGACCGCCGTGAAAACAGCCAGGAAGGATAGCGCAAACGGACGCACAGACGACGTTGACGTGACGCTGCTGTTGAGCGAGGAGGTGAGGATGATCGTCGGCAGGTTTGCGTCGCTGAGGGTGTTCGAATCGAGCGCGTTTCCACCTGGAAAGGGACGCAGCAAGCTCAGGGAAAACTTCGAGAGATCTTATCTATTGCGGTTCTTTTCTTGGGATCTTGCTTTTCAGAAGATTCAAAAGGGCTTCGGGCCCTATCAGGCTCCGGGCCCTATCAGGGCAGCCTTCAGCCCTTGAAGGAACTCGCTGTACGTAGAAAATCTCAAAGCTCACAACGTCATTTAGGAGTACATAACGCCGAACAGCAAAGAGCTTACTTAGCCGTATCAACGGGTGCAAAGTTCGAAGTTGGTTTTAAAAAGTAACCCAACTTGTGCTTTTCCATACCCTTGACGTTTAAAACGCACATCATTTCAGTGCCTTACATGTCTACAGTCTAAGTCCGAAGGGTTCGAAGCGGATTGAAGTGAATCGTCTGGAGATCAAAGCTTGTGCTGGCACAGGGCTTCACCGCTGAGACGTGACAGGAGTATAAACTAATGACAGAATGAAAAGGCAACCGTCCATTTACGGCACCCCCCGCGCCCCCAACAATAAAATATTCGTTATGCATCACATATGTATTCTTCTCCGGAGATTTGAATGACGCACCGGCGTCCTTCAGGACAAACTGGAAGCTAGTCGGAACGCCCGCCTGGGCCGTCGTCGCCCCCAGCCCCCGGAGCTCCGTTTTCGCAAGCACCGGAGGTCCGGCAAATACTAACACGCGTAAGATGTTGGCGACTCCTCCGACCGCCATGTTCCCGGACGCCAGGTTCAGGATAACCTGAATCTGGTGCTCGCCAATTTGGGACGGGGTAACGCTGGCCGCGAGGCAGTTGGTTTCGTTGCACTGGGTTAGCGTCGGGATTAGCGTCGCCGATGTGAGGTCAGGGAGGGTTAGGTAAACCGAGAAGGCGTCAGGGCCCGAAACCAAGTAATCTTGCCGGTTGCCGAAAGCGTCTCGGGGGAAGGGTTACGTTGGAAAAGGGTCTGGTTTAAGAGGGCGACTGTAGATGTGGAGGCGCTGGTTGCGGCTGAGGCGACCTTCATCTTAAACCCGCTGGGATAACCCCCGATCGGCTTGCCGTTAACCGAGACGGTTACGACAAACACACCGCTAACCACGGGCTTGAAGCTGGCAACAAACTGGCCGTTTTGGGCGTCCACGAACGCAAAGCTCAGCGCCGAGGAATTCGCGGACGCCGAGACGGTCGCCCCGAAACCCGTCTGTAACGTCAGCCCGTTGGCGTCGCTCAGCGTTACGGTGAGCTTGTAGGACTGTCCGGCGAGTATGACGGAGTTGATGCCGTCTCCGGTTACGGTCGACTGCGAGGCGTCCGCCGCGCCCGTCCCCGACTGCACGGCTATCGGGAACTGCCCCCCGCTAACCACGTAGTTACCGTCAAACCTGACCTGCAAGGTTTGGTCCCCCGCGGCTGACGCGGTATACGTCACCACGCAGCGCGCGGTGTTGTTCGCGTCCGGCTGCGGAGCCTGCTTGGTGATGCTCGCGGGAACCGAGAAGACCACGCCGAAGCGCGCGCACATCGTCGCGCGCGCGGCCGCGGCCGTCGCGGCGCCCATGACCGGGTTGCCGTACGCGTCCTGAGGCATGAGGTAGATGCTCGCGGGGACGCACTTTGTGCCGGAAAAACACGCGAGCGCGCCCTTCAACCCGGGGCCCGATGCCAGGGACCCCGCCGCAGACGGAGCGCCCGGAACAACCGTCCCCGAGTAGGGGCTCCCCTGGAGAATCGTTCCGTCCGCGAAACCGAGCGTCGTGACCAGCGTTCCGGCCTTGAGAACGGTGAACGGAACGACGATCATCACGGGGTTCCAAGTGACCGGCGGTGAGACAGTTAGAGAGGACGGGTCCGAAAAGGTGGCGAAGCTGGTGTTGCTTCCCACGCGCACCTGGAAGGATGACGTCAGACCGGCTGCGAGTGACGTCAGATCGTCCATGGTCGGGTTGCCGTACTGATCGCGCGCCTGGATGGCGATCTGGGCGGTGTCGCCGGCTTTGAGCGTCGCAGTCCCGATTCCGTTTCCGCTGGCCGTGAAAGCGGACTTCTTCGTTTTTCCGGACGGAACCACCAGGTTTTTGAACGTTACCCCACCCGGCTGGTTACTCTTGACCGGGACTCCGTTAACCCTAAAGGTGATGTTATACGGGACCGCCTGGGTTGTGATCATTGTTATCAAGTAGGTTCCGTCGTAGTTGTTGACGACGGAAAACTGGGCGCCGGAACCGGCGCTTGATGTCGTGGCCGCCTGCAAGAGCCTGCGCCTGGATCCGCTTCCGCTCGGCTTCACGGAGTTGGTCACTGCCGTTCCGGTCACGTTGTAGAACGAACCGGGCGCGTAGCTGCCCCGGTTGCCGAACGCGTCTTGCGTCATCAGCTGGGAGGTTGTACGTCAGGCCGGCAGCCGTTTCCGCTGTGTTCACCGGAAGGACGGAAGAGGAGGCGGCGTCGACGGAAGCTGGGGTGACGGTGAACTGGAAGGGGCTGCCAGCGATTGGCGCCGGACCCCCGTCGCCGGAGTTGAGCGTTACGGCGAGCGAGTAAACGACGGGAGTGGAGGATGAGACGGCCTTGTTCGCCGAGAAAGTTATGGTGTACGTTCCTGAGAGAAAGAAGACAGGAAACATTATCTCAGAAATGGCTGGAAAGGATGAAAGGACTCGACTCTTAAGCAGACTTGAAGCTGGGCCGAACAGCAGATACTACTCCGAACCTTAATCTGATGAATTGAAGAAGATATAAGGGACTCAGATCGAAAGACCTCTGAATAGCCGAGTTTCCGGCAAGGCTGAATCCCAGAGAGGCCAGCGGAACGGTTCTTTGAATACATTCAAGAGAGCAGTGAGAAATTGGTGAAACATCGTTCGTTCCAACTCGCATTCGTATCCATCACAGTAGTAAAAGCGGACCAACAAATCAGCCGGGCATTTAGAAGAGAACAGCTGACGAGCTAGTTTCCCCTGCAAAAGGATGGAACTTTTTGAACTGTCCCGTTGGCTAGCTGAGCATTGAAATTCTGAGAGCGCCTTTTACTACCTAAGCCAGCAAGTCACATGGCAGGACAGTATCTTAGCAGAGTCTATATCCCTTCAAGAGCATTTAAGATGTCTACTTAGTAATCAGACCAACTGTCGGACTGTTCTGCCGTTCCTGTTTTAGAAGCTGCACCTTCCCCAAGACGTGCCAAAAACAAGGATAAAAGCACGAGAATAACCGCTTTCACCGTCGTTGTTGTTCACCGCTTGCGAGCACTTCGCTCCAGTCGCAGCGCCATCCACAGCCGTCGCGGGCGTAAACGTCACCGTAAACGTGTCGCTCTTCGCCAGCTGCTTTTTCCCGTAGATATCATACGCCGTCACCACAAGCTTCGTATCCTTTCCCGCGGTGATCGCGTACTGGGTTCCGCCGGTCAGCGGCGCGGCGGAACCGGAAAGCAGGGCGGTGGTTTTGGCGGCGCTGGTCAGCGGGGGGGTTATCGTAACCTGGAACGCGTTTCCGACCGCGGCGTTGTTGACAAAGACGGCCACCTTGTGGACGCCCGTAGCGAGCGGCATGTAGGTTACGGTTAGCGTGCTGTCTTCGTTGTCAACCAGGGTCCCGTAGATCAAACCCCCGGTTGGATTCGTGATCTTGTAGGTCACCCCAGTCGGGTTAGGGACCGAGTTATTGTAAGCGTCCTTAACCGCGATCGTGAAGCTGGTGTTCTTCCCCGCCTGGCCCCCGGTTGACGAAACCCCGGGACCGAATGCCTTGGTGAACGCGGCGCTCGGGTCACCGGGGCTAACCACGATCGGGTCAGGGAGCGTGTAGGTGTTGACGTACCCCGGGTAAGCGGTTTGGGTTATGTTAACCGTCAGGGAGTAAGTTGCGGCGACCTTGATTGGCGGCATCATGTACAGGTATCCAAACGGCGTTTCGCTCCCGTCCCAGAGGTGATAGCTGCTATCCGCAAGTGCGCACTGGCTGACGACCATGGGGGCGTTTGCTGACGTCAGGTAGCCGGTACAGGTGCACACGGGCTTGTACGCGTCGATCGAGTTATCGAAAGCGTCAAACGGTAAGACGTCGATCCCTTGACCGGTTCCGGCGGGCCAAGGGCCGGTTCCGGAAACGGAAACCCACGGGTTAACGCTCCGCCCCGCCGCAACGGCTACCGTGAACGCCCCGGTTGCGATGGGCTTCCCGGCGAGCAGAACGGTTAACTGGACGTTCCCGACGATGTCGGTTACGTTGACCGTTGCCAGGTACGTCTGGTTAACCACGGTGGTTACGGTGAAGTTTTTGGAGTAACCCAGCGCATTCGGGCCCGGTATGGCTTGCACGATGAACTGGTCGCTGCTCGCCGGATAGTTGCCGGTATACGTCACCAGATTGCCGAGAGCGTCCGCGGGGGAGATAAGCGCTTGGGCCAACTGTCCGGCGATGACGGACTTCGGTGTGAACGGGGCCACTGTGGTTTTGGCGGCGACCGTCGGACCGGGGAGAACGGTTACGGTGGCGCCGGAAAGGGCGGGGATGGATGTATTCCCGGTGGTCCCACCAAAAAGGCTCATAGCGTATGTTCCGGCCCCAGCAGTGGAGTAGGATATCGTATACGTTCCGTTGTTGTTGTCCGTGACTGCGGTTTTGGGGGCGCTCTGCACCCGGTTGCTGACGCTGGGGGTCATTTGCAGCTTGAAAACGGCCCCCCCCTGGAAGAGCCGGATGGCCGACGAGTCGTACGTGGTGACGAGGAAGCTCGCCAGGGCTCCGGCCACCGTTCCGGCCAGGCCGTCGCCGGAAACGGAAGTCTTCAGAAGGTCGATGGGGCGGCTGGCAGAGGCGCTCAGGATGGTAAGTGTGACGGGGCTGCTGACGTTGGTACCGGACCCCACCGCCTGGCCGCTGAGCGTGACGTCCATGCGGTACGTACCGGGCTGTGCGAACTTGTACCGCAGCGCGTATGTGCCGTCGGCGTTGTCGCTGACGTAGGCGGAGCACTGGTCGGGCGGGCATGACGTGTCGAGAAGGCGGACGGAGAACGGGTCGCCGCCGGTCGTCTTGACAAAGCCAAGTTGGTCGCTGCAAGGAGCAAATATACACGCTGCTATAAAGTGAAGGGACGCCTGTTTCCTCGAAATTAGATATAAGGAGGTTCTGACTGCCCCCGCAAACCCAAAGAAGTCGGTCTTGCATGAAGGGTTATTTATTTGGCTTCGACAAAGATAACTCCAACTCCAAGGAATCCGCTGCAAACTGGGGAGGCTGTGGTTCCATCCTTGCAATGGACCTTTCAATCTAGCTCTTGACGTGGAACGAGAATCAAGTGCAATCAAGTGGAGGAGCCAGAAAAGCTGTAGCGCTCACAGGCTCGGATACCCAATCCAAGAAAAAACGAACTTTTTTGTACTCACGTGTGTTACGGTCTGAGCCCCTGATGATTGAGTATATAACAACATAATGAGCCAACCTCGTGGAGGCTCATGTTTAGCGTCTGGAACAACCAGAACTAAACACAGCTATTTAAGTTTCTCCTGAGCATTTGTGATCTTCAAATGTATTCACAAACTCGTGCCGAACGAAGCAAACGGCTGAACCGATTGTCCAATTGACTGCGAACCGATTGTCCAACTTACCGCAGTCAATTGGACAATCCTTACTTAGACAGGAGGTCGTCTACCCGGCCTGGACAGCCCGCAATTCCTTCAGCATCAAAAGAGCCCCAACGGAAGCACTCACACAGCTGTGATGATGACGTCACTGGTGACGTTCGCCACGCTGCCAGCGAGCCCTGTACCGCCCAAACGCGACAGAGCGGCGCTGGTCGGACCGCCGGCAATTGGCAATATCAGGGTTCGCCCACCCGTCCCGCCAACTGTGAAAAGGAAAAGAAAAGATTATGAGGGTCTCTGGAGGGAGGATGGGGAAGCTTTCATTGCCCGACAGCCAAGCCGCGTGCCTGTTACTTGGCTAAGAACCAGACCGTCACAAGTTGCACAGCCGTCTCGGCGACTGGGGAAAGAAGGAAAAAGATTCTGAGGCTCTCTTAGGGAGGATGTGGAAGCTTTCATTGCCGGACAGCCAAGCCGCGTGCTTGTTGCTTAGATTAAAATCAGGTTGCACAGCCGTCTTGGCGATTGTGAAAAAGATTACGGAAGATTCTAACGATCCCTGGAGCGAGGATACGGCCGCTTGTTCGCCTGACGACCGACACGCGTCCTTGCAACTCGCATACCAGACCTAAACGTCAAAGGAAAAACACCAAAGAGCGGGACGAGACTTTGGTCCTTTTAATCGTTTAATCGTTGGACCCGCATAATCTTTGCGTCCTGAAGAGTACGGGATCGGTCAGAGGAAGGGACGAGTCACGTTTTTAAAGAAACCGGACTTACTCAGGACGTTGATGCTCAAGAGCCCGACTGCGGTCGCCGAGTAATTGACGACGTAGCGGCCGTTGACGGGGTCAAAAGTGGGGCCCTGGAACGGCACGTTTTGGACGAGCTTGATGACTTTGCCGGTCGTAAGCGTGATGCTCACGGCCAGCTGGTCCAATGTGGCGTTGCCACCTGTCCGGATGTTGTTGTACCTAGGCGAGAAAGAGGAAGGCATGAAGAAATGTCCGCAACTGATGCTTGGAAGGTCAATGGACCCGATCAGGTGTTTTCGAAACACGCCGTAACGTGGTTAATCAGAATGGGTGCTGGGACGGCTTCCCTTCTTCGTGGGAGCGGACTTTTGCAGAGGGAGTGCATCAACGATTGGCGGGCAGAGCGTCCCGACGAAGCATCGGTCCCGAACCAATCTACTAAACGCAATTCAATCTGCTGGTGGATGCAAACAAAGATCAGAAATGGAGACGGAACAGATGTCAATCCCTCGCATAAGAGCCCCGGTACTGTAGTAAATGAGGTGAAACGAGAGGAACAAAGAAAGAAGAAGAAGGAACTGAAGCAAAGGTAACCAGTTAAGATATGGTGTCTGAATAACCGCTCTTGAGGAATCACCGATCAGGAGAAGTCTCACAATCAACCGGATCAGAAAAACCTATTGGACATTGTACCTGTTTGCGGTTTAGAAGTTCACCGCCCAAGCGTTTTCTACACAGCAAACAGAAAACGAGTGATGTGCTCACTTGTCCTTGACGACAATGTAAATGTCCCTGCTCGCGCCCACGGTTCCGCCGGACGTTCCGGCGCCGGACAGCGTCACAGCGGCGGCATCGCCCGGCGATACGATGAAGTATCCAGGGATGTTAGGAGCCGCCACAGAGTTGACGTAAAGAATGACGCTATATCTCGCCGCATCATTGAGCAGGTAAGAAATAGTGTACAGTCCTGGGGATGCGGAACTCTGGACGGAATAGATTCCGGTGCACAAGGTTCCGCCGGTAACTTTCCGCTGGAGGCAGCTGTTGACGAAGAGCTTTTCCGGGCTGACGGCTGAGCTGGTCGGGTTGCCGTAGGCGTCCCTGCGAGCGGACATACGGCAGCCCTCTTAGGGGTTACAAAGCTTGAAATGTCGGTGGTTCAAGGCACAGCCCCGGTCCCGATCAAACATACAAAGTGAGTCGGTACTCAGTGGGTTCCGGAGCGGCTTTCACTTGAAGTTGCTGGTCAATTTCCCGATCTAAACATGCTAATAGACAGAAACTTCCCAAAAACCAGATTCCCTGAGATGAACAAGCTGCGGAGCACCCGCAGCCAGACTTCGATTGTGCTCTACTGAAGCCTTTCTGGGGGCGAAACGAAGATGAATCAGATGAAGCTGGTACCATTTATTCTAATGGAACTTTCGTTTGTGCTCTACTGAAGCTTTTCTGGGGGCGAACGGAATATGAATCAGATGTAGCTGGCTAATGAAACTCGGAGCGGCCGGAACGCATGAAGTCAGTAAGCCAACGAGATCGACATCGACAAGGCTGTCCGATCAGCTCCAAGCAAAGGCCAAGTCTCAGTAGGACGCGTTTTCGGAAGCTTCGTGCGGAATGGAATTCCGAGAAGCATACGAATGAGCGAAGGAGGCCTACTAGCCACGAGCAGAGTAGCTCACAGAGCCCTCACCTCAGCTGAACTTGGAAGCTCCCAAAATCCCCGGCGGTTACGTTCGTTAGCGCAAAGACTTGCGTCATGCTGACAGCGTATCCGGCTGCTCTCACAACGACGGACGTCGAGTAGATGTTCGTAACATTCATTCCGGGTAGTCCCCAAGCCTACTAGCACCCCATACGTGCCCGCCCCCGTAAGCACGAAAGGGTTCGCCACGAGCCGGGGCCCGGTCCACGTCAGCGCCTGCGAGACGACCGGTTTGCCGCCCTGGGACAGCGTCAGAGTGACGGAAGCGCCGGAGACGTCACTCTGCGTCAGAAAGTTGTTGTAGGAATCGAAGACGGATGCGGCGAGCGTCAGGTTATCGCCCGCCGTGCTGTCGAGAAGCGCGTTCCCTTGCAACCCGGCCGCGATTCGGCGCGCGTCGGGGATCCCTCCCTGGACCGTGAAAACCGGGCTGTCCACGCTGGCTTGCGTCAGCAAGGATCCGGGGCCAGCGGAAGATGCGGACCGGAGAAGCACCCTGAGGAAATAGTCCCCGCGCGCAGTAACTCCTATAGCGGTTACTGTGTACTGGGACGCGTAACTGCTAGATTGCAGGAAAGACAATGGGGAAGGGTTGGGCTCGTTCGCTGTAACCTCGAACTTTCCTCCGCCGGTCGACGCCCCGGCGGTGGGAACCAGAACGGTGCTCATAATGAGACCCTGGGTCGGGTTACCGAACGCATCGACGAGCGACACTGCGAAAGTGCAATTTTGTCCCACAGGGACTGGACCAGGGGGCGCGGTTATTACCGACAGGTTTGCCGAAGGGGGCCCCGGGGCGACGCTTACCCTAAGCGGGCTTTTGCTAACCTGGTTCGGGCCCAGGGTGACGGACACGTCATACTGTCCGGCTATTGTCGGTGCAAACCCAAAACTGCACCCCGGGTTTGTGCGCGTCGTATTGGCGCAGTTGCTCGAAACGAAAGGGGCTGGGGCGCCCGGTGGAACGGTTAAGGCTGTAACCACCGGGTTAGAGGCCAGGGCAAACGAGTTAACGGCCTTGTAGTCGGAAGTAGTCGGTCCGACGGCGAAGGGGACCGGTTGGCCGACGGTCCCCGTGACGCCGCCCTGTACAAAGAACTTGGCGGCGTCGCCCGAGTTGGCGATAACGTCAGCTTGGAAGGAGGCGAACGGAGCCTGGTCCTGTAGACAGGACGAAACAGTATGTGGGATTTGCGCTGTGCAATTCTGGAATCAGGAAGGCTCTGCCCTTGTGAGAAGATGCAGTCTGCTCAGAGATGCTAGTGATGGGCAAAGACTAGCCAGGAAGACAAGCAGCCCAGGCTTTCAGATTGATCGATCTCGCATTGCGGAGTTTCCTCGATAATGTGATGATGGCTGCATTGACTTGCCTTGAATTTGCTCGTGCGAGCCTGATAACTCATGACCGTTCAAACAGATTGAAAATCAAATCACTGTAAAAGGAAGGCCGCGAAAAGGAGCGCGAGTTGAACGCTGTTTTTTTCACGCCGTACGTCAGGGAAAGAATCTGCTTGACAATCCCGCAGGCAGACTTGGTGAGGGGAGATCAAGATGCAACCCAGGTACTTCTGAAAATGCTAACAAAGAAGAGCAAATTGGTTCGGTGTCTTTATGTCAGATCGAACTGTAGCCCGCCACTTCTTGGAACTTGAACTTCCTTCGGAAAGAAGAATTTGTCCAGGGAATCCAGAGAATGTGTGAAGAAGGGTAAATTGTAACTGGATTAAGGCTACCGGCCTAGAACGGGCTCAACAGAAGCTTCCGTCAGGCCTTCCAGACTGCTTTTAAACAAACGGACTTGAAATTCTTGATCTGCTCTTTTGATAATGTCAGACAAGACACTGAATCGTGAGCACCTTCTAGTCAGAAACCGGAACGCGGCACTCAAGACAAGACATCCTGCTTCGAAGCGAAACTAAAGCAAACCACTGCAGAACTTGAAAGATGCGAATATCAGGTCAAATCACTGGTACTTACAATGTAGACTGTGAACACGTAGCGCGCCGTCTCGGTCGGCACGAACTGGCATCCGTACGTTCCGTCCCACCGGTCCGCAAACGACGCCCCGGTTATCCCGTGGTCCGCCGTTACGCTGAAGCGGGGCGCATCCAGCTCCTGACTCCTGACTAAACCCTTCGTATCCCGGGCGGTAACGATAAACGATCCGACGGTGTTAAGCGCAAAGCTGGTGGAGGCATTGACGGTCGTGGTTTGCGGGCTCAAGGGACCGGTAGGGACCGCGAGCGCGAGCGTCATGACCGGTGCCATACCGCTGACGCGCGTTGTGGCGGGCATGGCATCAGCACAGGAGGCGATTCCGCACTTGTAGAGGAGCAGGCTGTACCGTCCGCTGGTCGTCAGGGCGACGCTCGTGGAGTAGTCTCCGGCGGAAGGCAAGGGAACGGAACGGAACGTCGCCGGCGCCAGATCTGCGGTGACCACTTCCGGGGCGAGGGAGACGACCGCCAGGAAGGCGAGCATCGAAATGGGTTTTCCGCTTCAGTCGCGGACCCGGAACGAAAGAGAAGCTCCGTTAGGGGTTTGCTCTTGGGTTAGCAGCTGGATGCTCTTCAACCCGGGAACGATGAGCGGGACGTTTCCGCTGGCGTCCGGCGCTGGAGCGGGAACCGGAACCGAAGCGGGGGCTGGCGCAGGGGATGGAGATCCGCCGGAGTTGCCTCCCGCCGGAACGACGGTGATCATCTTAGGGCCCTCCTTAAGAGGATTCCCAGAGACGATGGTTGTGATCTGATACGTCCCAGCCTGCGGCGGTGCGGTTAGGGCTATGGTGTAGTCTCCGAAAAGGCTATCCTTGACTTGGGCGGAAACGATCGCGAGCGTGGGGCACGCAGGCGCGGCCGCGGCCGCGCTCTCCACGGCCCCGCTCCCCGCGCCCGCGCTGGAAGCGCTCGCCGCGCTCTCCGCGCCCGCCGCGCAGATGCCGACCTGGATAAAGCTCGCTTCCCCGCCAAAGCCAATCTTCTGCGAGGACGCCGAGAGCGGAAGCAGGTGGTAAGAAATGACCGCGTTTGCCTGCACGCTTTGCGGGGGCCCGGATGAGGTCACGGAGCGATCGCTTATGGCGGGCGGCAGGGTGACGGATACCGTGGGCTGAATCTGGACGTCGCGGGCGTAGATCCGGAGCTGGTACGTTCCGCCGGGCCGGAGGCCGGAAACGGAGACGTACATGGTGAAGTTTGCGGCGGCGGTTGAGTTGCCGCTGGTGACTCGGAAAGCGGACTGGCCGCCGGTTCCGGTTCCGTTGACGGGCGTGAGGGTCCCGGAGATGCTGGCCGAATCGTCCATGAACTGAATGAGATTCCCGGCTTTGTCTCTTGGAACCAAGGTGACGCTGCAGGAAGGAGATAGTTCGCTTAGTGAATGTCAATGTTAATTGTTCGAAATTCATCAGGTCAGGAGCGCTGATTGGTGTTCACAGCAGCTTGAGATATGGGACGCGAGATTCTAAAAAGGTCCGAACTAGGTCCGTCTTTCCTTCGCACAAATCACAAAGGAAGATCCACTCGCCTTGGATACTTTCATTAGCTGCTACCGAAAGAGCAATTGAGACTGGAGGAAAAGGCAAATTCCAGTTTCTGACGGCAGTATCAACTTGATGCTGTACTCAAGAAGACCAAAGCAGCTTCAAGGCAGTGCTTTAAACTCTCAAGATTAAGGTCCGTTTGCGACGTTTGTACCGTTTGCAAAACCAGATTCTAGTCGAACCCAATCCTGCATCAGTGGACGCTAAGAGTACACTTTTTCCGGGAATCGTATGGGGTTATTGGTTGTACCAGGTTTTCCGGTGCTCGAAAGCTGTCTTTGATAAGCCGGGAAAGCCTCGAGGCACCGGACAGCTGATTTCAGAGCTCCAGAAGAATGAGGAGAAGCATTATGCTGCCACAAAGAGACCTGAATCTATGAGGCAGAATCCGGTGCTCTCACCTTATGACGTCATCTGGCTGCCCCACGGACAGCCCACCGGGCGGCACGAGCAGCGACGACTGTCCGCCGTCGATCGGCGCGCTCCGTGGCAGGGCAACGCGCTGTAAGCCGTCCAAGATCCGGTTCCCCTGATTGTCGTACACGACCACTTGGTACATACCGGCGAGGCTGGTGACGTAAGCGAGGTCGTAGGCACCGGTGGCGTAAAGCTGAGTCGTGGCAGTCAAGTTGACGGCCGGGCAGAAGGAGGCGTTCTGGGGGGCTGCGTCAGCAGTTGGCGGGCAGACGATGCATCTGATGGGCGTGGACGTCTGCATATTTCCATCTGGAAGGAACAGCAGATGGTAGTGAATGAGAGGAAAGAGCACAGCTATGAATCCATCGACGAAATGCTGAGGAACTTGTTTTTTGGCCACTATGTCCGCTGTGTTTTTCGCGGGTACTGAGCCCACCGATCAAAGCGGCAGAACCAAATCTCCACATTCGAACCCAAACGAAAAGGATGCGGGATAGCGTTCTTGGCACACTTGACTGGCACAATACGAGTACCGGTTGGCATGGCCCCTTAAAGAGCTTGTGTCATGTCGAGCCCAATCCAAAGTGGCGACCGTCTGCCCTGATGTGTGCATTCCCAGTTGCTCGAAAAACCACAGGCCAGCAATATGAACCGACACGCAGCCAGAATCTGTTGTCTTGTTTTCCAGCTAATTGAAAGACGCCACTTAAGCTAGATGAAGATACTTTGATTACTTCAAGGTCTGAAGAGGAAAATTTGAATCACCTATTGTATGTATGACATAAGAAGCGAGTTGCCAAAAAGAAGCTCACATGTGTCTCGTGGGGTGAACGTGGCGTGTACCGAGCCGCTGTCGTCAATCACTGCGTCCGGCAGCGTCAGGGCGCTATTCTGCGGGCTTATGTCACTTGCCGGCAAAACCATCAGTGTCTGCACATCGAAGAATGTAAGGATTTGGAAGAGCGCTGTTACTTTTAGGTGAGAATTTCAATCTTTGCGCAGAAGGAAGTGCCAGCAGTAAGGCAAAGTGCTAAGGTTGTCAAAGGCCAGATCAAAGATCTTTGCAGAGTGAGGAAGCATCATGGTCTGCAGGTGATCCTGTCATCAATTTCGCGAAGGCGGGCCAAGTATCATCGAGCCCTCAAATTCTGTTTGTAAGTGAAGGAGCGAATGAAATCAAAGCCTCAGAACGAAGAACGGTCTTGCTTCTGGAAGGACGAGTCGATCCAGGCTAGGTGGCAACGGGATGGGCCCCCACAATGGAGCATCCTAACAATTTCTTTGTTAATCTCTCCGATGATGTGAACACTCGGGCTAAGTACGTTGGATCCGAAAAAAGGCCTGAAATTGGCAACTGAATGCAAACTGGACAATCACAACAGGTGAATCTCATCAACTCACCTGCGGCAGATACAGAAGCTTGTACGTCTTCGAGTCGCAATACCCCGCGAGCTGCTGACAGGTCGCCAAAGCCGCTTGCACCACATACAACCCCGCAGCCACCGGCGTATAAGAAAGCGTCCCCTTGGCAACTGTGCACGTCGCGTTTGTGACAATGGAAGCAAAAACTCCAAATGCGGGGCCCAATATGAGCTGCACCACAAGTGTGCCCATCCCTTCGCAGAGCGCCGAATCGCCCCCGAAGTTGCGCTGGTAGCGGGAGCAGTTTGCGGCGACCTGGAACTGCACCTGCTGCCCTGCGGTCGCCGCCAAGCCCCCCGGATTGGGGAACGACGGGTTACTTGGGGGGGCTTGGTATTTTATCCCCATTTGGGAGCCCATAAAGTCCAGGTACGTCAGCATTTCGTAGTCTTTCAGGGCAGTGACGGTCACCGTATACTTCCTCGCTGGTCCACTCATGGAGGGGTTGACGCCCAAAATAACGCCGCCCACGTCAGCTTTGTACCGCATCTCCCCGGGGAAGTTGAGGGACGACTGGCCGGGCGGGTTGGTACCGGTCGAGGATATTTGGACCGCTCGATCAGCCGCGGAAGCGTTGAGCACGAAGATGGCGACGTTGCTCGGGAGGCGCAGGGAGTATTGGGCGACACTCGGAGAAAAGTTTGGGACAAGCACCCCCGGATTGGCTGCCATGGTCGCCAGAGTTGCCCCGGCGGTTATGGGCACCATAGCGTTTACGCTGTACCAGCCCGTGGCCGCCCCATCTTCTGAAACCACACGCACCTTGAAGCTGTTAGTCCCGGGGGACAGGGACAGGGTTACCGACGTTCCGCTGAGGACCGTCGTTCCGTCGAGGGAGTACGCGGAAGCCGCGGCCGAGTCTGTCGCCGCCCAGGCAAAGCGGGCGGAGCTTGTGCCGGCGGTCAGCCCGGGGACTTGCACCGGGTCCGCCCGGAGGTCGAGTTGGATAACCGTCCCGTTAACCGTGGCGTTTAATGACCGCAGGGTTGCGTCGGTTCCGGCCAAGCGCACGACGTCAAGCAGGTAGACTTGCTTAGAGACGCCGTCTGGCGCGGTGACTCCCAGGCTGAACAGGCTGTCCGTTTTGACGGGCCCGAGAGAGAAACCGGTAGGGCTAACCCAGGAGCCGGGCGCATTGAGAACCGGGCGCTGGATGACGGTTGCGGAAGGGGCGGATGTGTTGAGGGAGATCGAAGAGGCCGGGTTGGTTGGGATTGCGTACAGGCCGAGGGCTTGAACCGCTTTGGGCACAGATGCGGTGTACATCTGCAGATGGTATGAGTCCAAGTCAGAACGATTAATCTCATTGTGGTGATAGCATAGTAAGATCCGTCGTCACGAAAGAAAAGCTCCAGGAAAGAGAGGGAGCCGATCAGGAGGCGGTACTTTGAACCAAGTCGGAGGCGCGGTCTTGCAATCAAACAGGTGTCTGCGCGAAGACACGGCGAATACTGCATGGCAATTGTACTGCTTGCTGTGCGCGAACCTGCTCGTGTCTGACGGAACGAGGAAATACATGATTTTTAGGTTTCGAAGAGAAAAGCTGAGGAAGTAGTGTCGCGGGACTGGTTGAGTTGAGTTCTCTGCTTGAGAGCTGTCTCGATCAGTACGATTAGCTGTGATTGTATTCAATATTACAAAGCGACAGCACCCTTAATAGAGACCAACTTGTTTCAGCGCTCTGCAAGAGGGCTTCATTTTCTTCATAAGAAACGCATAATGGAGTCAAGCAAGAAACAAAAGCTTGGAGAAGGTCTGAGATGCAAACATACTGAGATACAACTTCTTCATATGTCAGTGTCTGTCCATCTCAGTTCAAAATGCTCGGAATAACCGTTGAACAGTACATCGACAAAGATGACAAAGGTCTGAAGGTCCTCGAAACGAGCAACTCGAGATTTGAAAAGCGGGTACAATCAGACCTGCTTCATACGCTCCCGCTCTGGACAAGTCAACTGTTTCCGCCGAGGATCGACTTTTGCGCTTGGAACACGTACCTGCTGGTTGCCGTTCAGCTGGAAAGACGACAACGGGATCGGAACCTGCGTCCCTTCCACGTAGTAAATGCCCACACTGCTCAACGAAGCATCATGTGCAATGGCAACCGACAGCCAGTAAGAATACACAGCCTGCGCGCTTCCGCAAGTGACTGTAAAGTCGACGCGTCTCACAACCCCCGCGGTGACGTTCCCGAAAGGGATCCCCCACTGCCAATATGTAGCGGGGGGGACCGTTTGAGAGGGAAGCGGCTGCAAATTGTTCGTAAGGGTCTGAGTGGTCGGAGCGGGGGGGCTGTAAGACGCACTGATTTGGCTGGGAGCTACGGGAATCGAGTCAACAGTCATAGAGACTGTGGCTGCCGGGTTCTTGGTCAGAACGCTGAAGAGAAGGCTGGGAACCGGTTTCGGCAAGCTGACGTTGTATGCTTGCGTCAGCGGGCTGAACTGCGCCCCACCGAACGCCTGGGTCCCGTTTGGAGCGGAGACGTTGACCAGCGTGAGCGTGGCGTCATCCGCCACGAGGCTGTCGCGGTTTATGCTGACGTAGTACGTGCTGGAGTCACCAAGGCTGCCGGTCACGTTAACCTGGACCTGGTTAACCCCGTACGCGAGGCCCAGAACCCACACGCTCATCCGTTGGGCCCACTGGGTTGAGTTTAGCGTGCTGGTCGCGGGGATGCTGATGGAACTAGAGACGCGGGTTAGCCAAGTCTGGTCGGTTACGTACAGAGGGCCGCTGCAGCCGCTCCAGCAGGAAACGGTGGTAGTCGCTGTCGCGTCCCACTCCCAAGTGGTTAGCAGGACGTAAATCTGGCTGGAGTCTATCTGCCCGTCGCCGACAGAGTAATTGAAGGGGCCGGTGCTCTGGAACTGGGGAGACATCCCCGTGTTTACGACGAAGAAGTTGGAGCTTGGCGCGGTTTGCCCAGGGAGTATGGGTCCCATGAAGACGCTGAAGATGAGGTACTGGACGAACATCTGCGCGAGCACGCCGGACGGGACGAACGCGTCGACGGAGTAGCTGGCCTTGCTGACGTAATCCAGGCCGGTGAGGGCGAGGCTGAAGGTGTTGTGGCCGTAGTCGAGCTTCACCTGCAAAACGTGTCACAAGGAAAGGCTAGCTGAGACTTTGCTCAGCGCTTCGAGTTGCGGGCTCTTCCAAGGCTCTCCAGGTTGCCTACATGCCCGTTGAAGAAGTCTTCGACCCAAAGGTTCGGCCTTTTGACGAACAGAATAATATACAAGAAATGTCCGATGCAGGTAAAGTCCACATCCTGATCCTCTTTCCAGTTGATACCCGGTGATGGTGAGCAACATGTGCAATGTTCCACTTGCTAAGTTCTCAGTTCAATGATCGAATGGATGTTTCAGCGTGTGAAGCAACGACGTCTGACACTCCCACCCGATCCGCTTTACCTCCATAGATTGGGATCCTTTACCAAGGGAAGGTGGTAACTCGTAGAAACGCACAATTGAGCTGCTTGCCAACATGTCGAATCTTTCGAAAGCAATCTGAACAGCTTGAGTTTCTGAGTTGTGCTGATTGATGGACCAAGGTAGAAGGGTAAGAACAAGAAAAGGCTAGAAAGAGCACGTTTCCTCACCTGGTCCGGTACGGTCCGAACGGCAGCAACAGGAGCTGCCGGCTGGGCTCCCAGCATTAGTTGCTGATAGATTGACGTCGCGGTAATGGAGTACACCGTATCAGCGGGGTTGCTAATGTTGTACGGCGGCGTGGGATCAGTGCCCCCCGAAATGACGTCCAGGATGGAAAGGGCGGGGGTCAGATCAGCGGGCATGGCCCGCTTCACGGTAAGGGTGTACACAACCGCGGTTTTGTCCGTTTGCGTGACCCACACATAAAACACTTTGGTCCCGAAGCAGTCGAGAGCGAGTGTCGCGGTTAGCGCCCCTGACGGACTGGTTAAGAACCCGTAACCCCCGGGAAGCTTGGCCATCGAGATGTTCATACCCCCCCCCGGGAAGAGCGGCTTGCTTGTGTTTGCCGCCGTCGTGTAGTTCCGGCACAGCAGGTTGGACGGCACGCCAAGAACAGCTGTTACGCCGACTGTGAGAGCCGTGTTGGAAGGATATACGACCAACGGCTGGGCAGGGTCGTATACGGCGGCGTTGTATACGAGCGTATACCGGGTTCCGTTGCTCGCCGCCGTCAAAACAATCTGCTGCACTGACGAGTTCACGGAGAGCGCGTAGCTGTAGACGCCCTCCGCGAAGGCGGGCGCGAGCGCGGCCGCGTCGGCGGTGAGGCTCGTGACTAGGGCCGTGGCCTGGCACGTGACGTAGATGTAGTACGTCATTTGCGTGAAGCCGTTGGGGCCGGTCACCCGAACGGTGAAGATGTTCGTTCCCGGAACTAGAGGCCCGCGGAAAAGTCCAGTCACGATCGGGGACCCTGACACCGAGACGGGGCTGAGGAGGTCTACCGACACGTTTGCCCCGGGGCCTGCTGGGGTCAGTGAGAAAGCGAAAGTGACGGCCTTTGGGTCGTTGCCAATTACGTTGTAAATGGTTGTGCTGGCGGAAAACGCGGGCGATAACGAGACCCCTTGGTCTATACCGACACTCGTTAGGTTGGCGTTGGTAGCGGAGGGATCCGCGTTATACTTCAGGCACAGGGTGTCAGCTGGCACGGGCGTCGGCCGTTTGAGCGGGGGACCGAGCGAGAGCACGTTCCCGAGGCCGAAGAGGGGGACCCCCACGTCGGGGCTGGGGACCGGGACCGGGGCGGACGTATTGTCGGTCGGTTTGACGAACGAGAGCGGCGCCGGTACTCTGAAAGAGTACGACCCGTCCAAGCTGAAGAGGAGCTGTTTCTAGCCCCATGTGGTCGCGTTCATGAAGCAGCGGACGCTGGGGAACGGGTAGGTGGCGTCCGGTGCACGAAGTCGTAATGGAGTTGTAAGTATTACAGCTTTAGCGCCTCATCCTCATCCTCCTCACTTCATCCTTCTCTTGGCTGAATTCACTCTAGATCGGGATGAAGCGCCTCATTTTCATCCGGATTTTCATCATTCTGTTCATTATTCTCAGCGGAGGTATGGAAGAATGTGAAGTTTCAACTTTTCTCTCATCCTCATCCTCCTTC